CCCCCAGGGGAGGCATGGGGTGCATATGCCCCCCAGATCTGTGCGTGGGGCAAGAGTGGGCTGGTGCTGCAGGCTGAAGCCAGGGATAATGCCATGCTCTTCCTGGCAGGCGGCTTGGGCTAGGGCTGTCCAAGTCTGAGTTCCTTTTAAGATTCTGGAAGTTTGGACAATTTATTAATTTTCAACCTGCCGAGACGAAGAAAAATAAAAACTAATGGAAGATCTTCAGTCTGAAGAAGGGTGGCTGAAAGTACTTGGAAGAGCTAAGGTCTACATTAAGGAGGATGCAGATTTTCCATGTTTTATACTTCACAAATACTGTGACCAGTGACCAACCAGGCAACCTATGTTGACTGGTTATTCCCCACTACTACTATTTTTATAAGGCACAGAAGTTACTTCAGGCTCTGTATTTAAGTTAACATTTATGTAGCATTTTATCACTTAAAAATGAAACAGGACTAACTTACAGTTAAGATCTGTATATTTGCTCTCCAGAGCTTGTACGTATGCTTCATATTGCTTCCACCTATTACAGGAGAGGAAAAGAACAAACAAAAAATTTCTGAAACAGTTTGTTAAATCAAAAGTGGCTAAGAACTCAGACTACACATGCATGCTATAACTAAAAAAAGAAGTCACAAGGAAAATATGCAACTACACCTATTTTAACGTATAAATAGGTTAAAATATAAATTTTAACCTATTTATAGGTTAAAAATAAGGAAGTTATTTTTAGCCAGGAAAACAGTTTAAAACTCTCAGCTCAAAAGGAAAAAAAACAACTTACAGATTTTAGAAAGACACTAAACAAAAATTACATAGAAGCAGCTAAGAGGAACTGTTTGTGTTACTATGGACAAATGCACAAATCCTTCTTCATTTAATTATAAATGCAGGGAATATTTTATTTAAATATACGGTCCCTCAAAACATTAAGTTCAGTAACACTAAGAGAATATGAAAACTACAAACACAAACAGCAGATGGTATGTCAAGATATTATTCATTACAAATGAATTAGCGTGCAATGAGGTTAAGAAACCACTGAGCTATTGAAACAGCTTAAAATTAATAATGTCTGAAGTTAACAAGCCAAATTTGACTAGTTTAAGCCAAAATAGTTATTGTGACTATTAACGTTAGCCACCTTTAACCATACCTAGGGACAACCCATGCAAATAATCCATGAATTCAGGGAGACACACACTAGATTGATTTCTGATGAAAGCCACCAACTGAGCACCAAAGTTTGCAATAATAAAACTCTTGTTAGGTCAGAATCTTGGCCAAATTCTTAAGTTAGGTGCCAGAAACTAGACTTCTGCATCCATAAAAGCACTCTGCTGCCAACTAAGATCCTGCCCTATGAAGAGCTATTAAAATCTTGTCTTATTTAGCTTGGCAAACAAAGCATTGCGAGAGAATGATCCCTCTATAAAAAGATCAAAGGAGTAAACACCAGGGATAGAAAGAACTACTTAAACTGACACTGTTATAAGAACAAAAAAAAAGAGTATAAAAGCTGGCCACTAATAAGTTTAGGCAGCAAATTGGAAGCTTTTAACTTTTAGAGAAACAAGGTTCCGGAACAGCCTTCCAGAAATACTGGAGATAGACAACTTAATTATAAAATCTGATAAATTTATGAAAGTTTTTATATTGGGGGTAGGCAACCGCTGGCATGGGTGCCAGAGTGTGGAACCCGAAGACATTTTGCTTGGCACACATGCCTTTGGCAGGGAAGGGGCCGGGGCTACTTGGTCACAACAAGGATCAGGCCCTTCGTGGCTCCCCCACCATCCTCCCCAGGCATGCCAACATGTTACAAGTTGAAGTTGTGGGTGTTTTTGGCACTCTACCCAAAAGCATTGCTGACCCCTGTGTTATATGAAGCTACTGCTTGCAACAGCATGGAACTAGACACAATAAACAAGGAGCCCACTTTCAAACCTATATAATTTACTGAATGGGTGCCTTAAAGAGGTCTTATACAAAACAGCAAAGTTCAACATAACAGAGTAGTTGACAATTATGAAAATCTGCAGTTTCAAACTTCTTCACACATATCAACAAAATCCTTGCAGCTTCTCCTTGTTTATAAATATGCAAAGTGTTTTCCCTTTTGCCATGAAGTCTGAAAAAATATGCACTTTGAGGTAAAATTATAAAAATTCAGTTGAAAGAGTGATCTGTCTCCAAATAAAAATTTTTAGTATATCTGAGATCACTTCACTTATCTCCTACAAAACCCCCACAAGAAACCTAGGTATTGGTAAGCCATGCTCTTACACTGAAAGTTTTGTTGAAGACCTGCTTCAACAGAAATCCCAAGTTTGACTCAAGCCAGGTAGGTATTAGTTAATATCTGAATTATTTTATATACCAATTCTACAAAAAACACATCATATCCATTCCTGATCTTGTCTTCTACATCTAAATCAGGAAGTTTTCTTTAGTTTTCAATTCCAATACTCCCCCCACCCATCTTAAACATCTACAGTTAAAGAACTGCGAATACTGAACGTACCCTAACCTCAGGTATTAAAAAAAGCCTCCAAAATATTTCAGCCAGTTCCTTACAAGAGATTACCTTAAAGTCTAAATTTACATATGAACAATTAGTTTTCATTTCATCCCTTTATTTAAACACTGTTCCACTGCAGTGTACACACCTTCAGACAAAAATCAAGGTAAATAAGAGGGCATCTACAGAATAGACAAATCACCTAAATATTCAGGCTCTATGGCACACAAGAAAGCATCTTTATCTACTATTCAGAACTGTAGGGCCTTTATATCAGCTCCATTTGAGATTCAGGAGATCTAACTGAGCAAAGGACGCTTACTGAAATTGACACTGAATGCCATTTAAAAAAAAAAAAAAAACACCCAAAAACTTAGCGTTCCCCAAATCTGCTTTACGTAAACACAAAACCAGACCACAGTGGTTCTCTCAATCCCAGATTAAGTTCAATCAATTCTAGAAAACTCTCCAGTAGACATGTCATCCCAGTCAAAACTATCAACTTTTCCTATCGTCTTGGAAACAATCTACCAGAACGTCTTGAAGTTTGGAAACAAACCACCTGATTGCAACTATAAAGAGAAAAAATCCTTATACACACACAGATGACAAAACCACCTTCACATGTTACTGAGCAAGCTGGATAAGGGAGCATCTTTACTGAGGAGAAAAAGAAACTAGTCAGAGTGTTCTAGAGCCTCTGGGATGCCGGGAGTTAAAACATTCTTAAAATCAGGAAGAACCCTACTATACAGACAATCTTTAGTACCTCTGAAAGTCAAAACTCAAAAGCTAAGGAACACAATATCCAAGAATAAAAACCTTTCACTCAGAACATGTCATTTTTCAGCTTTTTCATAGAAAAAATAATCCTTCTCTGCAACAGCCGCTAGTCTCATCTCCAGGTAGAACCTGTCTGAAGCAGAAGCTGCAGTAAGATGCTATTTTCCCCAAGACAGAAGTCACTGAGACAGAACAGCACCATTACAAGGTGACAAAAGCCCTTCCAAGAAAATTCCCCACTATAAAGACTAGAATGGGGACCACATGCAGCCTGCCATGATAAACTAGAGGCATGTCAGAACTCATTATTCAAGTAATTCATTAAATGAGAAAGGACTTGAAAAGCAAAGCAAGTCCTGTGTCCTTACTGTACAGTACCTGGCTAACCTACACAAGCACTTGCGTGTGCTATCCATTTCCCAATTCCAAACAAAGAAAGCTTACATCTCATCAGAGCAGATCCCATGAAGGGCAACTCTCCATTGAAAGTGTTTCCTAAAGGTAACTGTCAAAGTTTGAGTCATGCACTGCTAGGCTACCAAGATTAGCATCCACAAGAAAAACAGCTTGAAGTACAGATTGACTCAAAATGTTATACAGGCATACCTGGGAGATATTGCAGGTTCAGTTCCACACCACCGCAATAAAGCAAATATCGCAATAAAGCGAGTCACACGAATTTTTTGGTTTCCCAGTATATATAAAAGTTATGTTTACACTATACTGTAGTTTATTAAGTGTGCAATAGCATTATGTCTAAAAAACAATGTACATACCTTAATTAAAAATACTGTATTGCTAAAAAATGCTAACCATCATCTGAGCCTTCAGCAAGTCGTAATCTTTTTGCTGGTGGAGGGTCTTGCCTCAATTTGTAAAAAACGCAATATCTGCGAAGCGCAATAAAGTGAAGCGCAGTAAAATGAGGTATGCCTGTAAATGTAAAGAGCCAGATTTCCTAGTTTACTTAGATGTATCTGCTTGTTTTGTGCGACATAAATGCTACTTTTTTACCACTATGAATACAGGAAAAAGCTAGGAAAGAGGGAGATTCATTTAATTTCTTGTTCTGCATGAAGTGCTCTATTTACTTGAATATAAAATGACCTGGTATAGAAGACAACTGCCCAGTAATTAGATTCTATATATGGAAAATGTATAAGTTTGTTATAATTCTCCAGGTATAGAATCTAATTGGAGATTTGCCTTGATTTGCCACCACCCCCCCCAGCAGGGAAAATAAATCTGGGGGTCAGATAACACTTTACATCCTTTGCTGCCTCCTGCAGTCCCTGCCCCGCCCCCTTACAGTCAGATCCTGTTCTCCCGTGCACAAAGAAGTGAGGCAAATTTGAAAGCACTGACTTTGAAATGAATATAATTTACCATATAGGCAAATTAATACAGGTACCCATAGACTTAGTTCATCCAGAATTGATACATTTGACCTTTCTTGAAACTGCTTCAAGTTTTAGCACAAGTACTCCATAAACACACTTTTACACCTACTTATACATCATGCATTATTTATTTATATAATAACATCATCATCATCAATTATAAACAATGCATATTAGTCTAAAGCCAAAAGGCTCATGATTTACCATACAGTTCACTGGGCTGGACCCCAGCAGTCAACAGCATTTCAAACCCTGATGATCCCAAAACCCAGCACTGCTTATTATGTACACGTACTCCAGATACCCCCTTCAAAGGATCTATTTGTTAGCTACCACCGCACCACCCCCTCCACCATGACTGGAACCAGGTGTTCATATCAGGAGTCCTGGGATCCTCCAAAACTTTATATGCAGATGAGGTGCAAGCCAACCTGGTCCAGCTCCATTTCATGGAGGGACAGGCCACACTAATCATATGCAACATGCTGAGAAAATTCACAACGGAGGGATTCTGAGTAAAACTGTTTGGGGCCCTGCTTGGTGATGTTTGCCAGACATTTAAGGCAGGTGAAGAAACAGGAATCACTGGAAACAGGGAGGTAAGGCACAACTCAGCTATGGGAGTGAAGTAGTAAAAATGTATTCAAAGTAGTAGCTCACCATGACTTGAAAGAGTTGGCACTGAGAGGGCCTGCGTGCAACAGGCACTACCAATATATCTGATTCAGATGAACTGCACTAATCTGTCCTTGTGGTAGGTTCTATGCTTGTCACCATATAGGTCTTGTGTTTTATAGTCATGCTCAGTGTTGGTTGTAT